TTCCCCTTTGGGGAAGAAAACGAAGGGGTGTTCCCCNCTTCTTCATCCCCTACGGGGAACTAAAGGGGACGGAGTCCCCTTTAGTTCCCCTAAAGGGGATGAAGAAGGTTCCCCTTCTTCATCCCCTACGGGGAACCAAAGGGGAGGGATGACGAAGGGGTTCCCCTAAAGGGGAAGAACACCCCAAAGTCTCTTCTTCTTCCCCTTTAGGGGACTCCGTCCCCTTTAGTTCCCCTAAAGGGGATGAAGAAGTGCTCCCCTTCTTCCCCTTTAGGGGAAGAAGGGGTTCCCCTAAAGGGGAAGAACACACCCAAAGTCTCTTCTTCTTCCCCTTTAGGGGACTCCGTCCCCTAAAGGGGAAGAAGAAGAGACGAAGAAGTGTTCCCCTTCGGGGAGACGAAGGGGTGTGTTCCCCTTCGGGGAGACGAAGGGGTTCCCCTTCGGGGATGACGAAGGGGTTCCCCTTCGGGGAAGAACTAAAGGGGTTCCCCTTCGGGGAAGAACTAAAGGGGAAGAAGAAGAAGAAGGGGAGGGGGACGCGTGACTGTAAGTATTGTTAAGCCTAGTTGGCGTTAAGGCCAAAGGCCTTCATAAAACGACATTCCCGAAGGGGGCCTAACTAGGCCTTCGCGCTTGTTGTAGTATCCGGCCTAAGAGTTATGCTACAGTGAAAAAATTAGTTGTTTCTAAATCAAAAGTATTTATTAATTTATTTTTTATTAAACCAGCTTCGTAACTATATTTTGACAATAAAACAGGACGTTTTTCAACTGCATTTTTAATAATCATATTAAATAATATTTTTCCTGGCGTTGTTCTTACTATTTGATTTATTATAGTACCATTAAAATTTTAAAATATTATGAGATTTTGAATATATTTCAATATAATTTAAATCTTGTTTAAAGTAGTCTAGGCCCTGNTGGGCTTAGGCGGTACCTAAATCACGGTGGGAGATTTAAAATCCTTTAAAGTTTGTTACCTTTAAATTGTGCTAATGTTATACGAATTTCCAATGGTGTTTCTAAAGTATTGGTGTTTTCAATATGTCCTGTTAAATTAACCCAAATAATAGCATGGATATGTATTAATTGTTGATAATAAGCTTTTAAAACATCATTAATATTATGAAAATGCATCCCTGATCCTTTTTTTGATTTGCTCCATTTTTCAGAGCAATTAGTAGTTAAGTAATAACAACCTAAAACCATATCTTGACTTGGTAATATAATAGGATCTCCTGTTGCTGGCGATAATAAGTTATTTCTAGCTAACATTAATTTCCAAGCTTCAGTTCTAGCTTCAAAAGTAATAGGTATGTGTACAGCCATTTGGTCGCCATCAAAATCAGCATTGAAAGCTGGACAAACTAATGGGTGTAATAAAATTGCTTTACCATCAACGAGTTTTGGTTGAAATGCTTGAAAACCTAGTCTGTGTAAAGTTGGTGCACGGTTTAAAAGAACAGGGCATGATCTCATGATTTCTCGCAATAATTGTGAAACTAATAAAGAATTTGTTTTTATTAATTTTTTAGCAGCTAAATAAGTATCTGCTAATTTTTCATTTAAAATACGTTTTATTAAAAAAGGAGAATAAAGAACTAAGGCCATTTCTTTAGGAATCCCACATTCATGCAATTTTAAACGAGGTCCCACCACAATAACAGAACGACCAGAATAATCAACACGTTTACCTAATAAATATTGACGGAATCGGCCTTGTTTACCTTTTAAAATATCCGAAAGTGATTTTAGTAAACGTCCACGGGCATCTTTTTCAGGTACAACACCACTCTTACCATTTTGAATAAGATTATCAACTGCTTCTTGTAATAAACNGTTGTGCATATTTCATTTCAAAAGAACTACTTAATGCTGGGTCTTTTAAAAATTTTTTTAAACGTTCATTTCTATAAATAATACGT